CTCAGCAACCCCACGGTTATCGGAGTACCCCCTCCGTCAGTCGGCAGTCCAGGGCACTGTGTGTCTGAGTGGATCGCAACGCGATTTTGCGAATCCCACTCCACCACAGTTGACCAACTCCCCGTGGTTCTACCACTTGCTGTCGCTCAGCCCTCCGCGGTTTCACCACCTGCTGCCCCGCAGCCGCATGCGGCCTAGCCGCTCTCTGCTGATTCGGCGCCAGTGACTTGGCGCTCACACGAGCCAGGGACTGGTACGGCTTGAGCAAGCCAACGTAAACACCGGATGGGTGCGCATCTTCTTGGGAATATTTAGCGTGTACGCTAGGCCCTTCCTGGCCACGACCTTGAACGGTCCAATGAACCTACTTAGTTTTGTCTTGAAGACGGCAGATACTGCATGTGGAGGTAGGTTTTTTGCGTTTAGTAAAACGAGGTCGCCGACCTCAAACCTTTCCACATTCCCTCTGCTTCTTGCATCCGCATGCTCCTTTTGCAGGTCTTGGCTCTCAGCCATAGCGTCGCGCACCTGGCGCATGACGCTAAGTCTCACCGAGACAAAGTCATCGACTTGCTTGCGTATCGCAATAGGGCTGACATCAGCAAGCCGCTCGGCTATTCCTCCCCCGTCAAGCCCTGAGCCACCACGTGGCGGCGTCAGCGGGACGCGAGGATTTACAAGGCCGTTCACAAAGAACGGGGTGAAGCCAGTAGAGGCATGTACCGCATTACTCAATGCAAACTCAACGAGTGGGAGTATCTCGCTCCAGCGTTTCGGCGCTTCAGCGCGTAAGCTTTGGAGGATGTCCTCCACAACGCGGTTAACGCGTTCAGTTTGACCATCGGTCTGCGGATGATCCGCTGTGGACATGTCCAAACGGGTGTCAAGCACCTTAAAAAAGGACGTTCAGAATTTCGCGGTGAACCGCGGGTCTCGATCCGAGACAGTTGCCTCAGGCAAGCCATGTTGGTGAAAGACTCTGTCTAGAAACAGCAGAGCTGTACCCTCACCATCGATGGTGTCCGGCACTGCCGCTAAGTGAGCCATCTTGCTCAATCGGTCTACAAAGACCACGATACCAGTGTTTCCCGCCTTGTCTTT